CTCTTCTTCGCTCTTCCAAATTCAGCTGCACGACGTTACAAGAAGGAACAAGGAAAACGATGTCACAATGGCAGCCTTCAATCGCTGTCTTATATCACAGTCCATGGAGTGCGAGAGATCCGCGAAGAACTTCGCGAGGGTCAGGCACCTCCACACATTATTTCATATAACACCAAAACGGAATTTGGCCTAGAATGCTTAGGACATTCAACACGATCAAAACTCATAATGCTATTGGAGTTTGGCAAGATAGGTTGGGCACTGCGGATACGCTCAGAGAGTCCTGAAACAGTTTTGATGCCTTCGACGGTGTCACAAATCTAACGCCGACGAGGGGCTCTGTAATGGTTGGTACCTGGCGATGGGAAATAGGTATATTGACGGACAGGCAACAGTTGACGAGATGTCAAAATTACCAACGCAAACGAAAGATTCTGGAATTGTTGGCAACCGGAACTCCGGAACGGAAATTTGCTGTCTATTCCATTCATCTGCAAACATTATCTAAACTCAAAACAAGTCCAAGAAAACTGTTGGCAGACATGGGTGGTAGATGATAATCGAAGATAGGGGCAGGAGTTAAGGCAAACAACTTTCTGAAAATCTAGCATTAAAAATCGGCGTTGACTTAAAAGAAACCAACCATCCATTTGGCGATCATATCCTCTTTGAGCTATTGCCCATATCAAGGAATATGAAATATTTAGACGTGCCTATATCCCATGGAAAAGTTTTACAGTGGAATATTTCAGACATGTTTACGGACGGAGTGCTATTTGGTATGCACGCCTGATTTCCAAAATTATCGTTCATTTAGGGAAAATATAAACAATGAATTAACGTCGCAATATGTGACAAAATTGATCAAAACATCCTAGCAATGAGTTAACATGGTAATATGTGACGGTGGTGATCAAAACATCCTAACAGTGAGTTAACGTGATAATATGTGACTGTTGATACAAATATCCTAACTGCATGCTGCCCGAGCATCGTAGTTAACATACTCCTTGGAGGTTGCACCACGACCGGACATGGTGATGCCTTGAGCTCAGCCAAACGTTCGGAGACATGATGTGCTTCGACTCGCATCACGCAACCTGTTCGGTTCGCAACGGGGAACAAGCTCATCTCATAACACTACTAATCATCCCGGCCTCGCGCCCTTCTCGGAGTGATCTGGCCCATCAACTAGAGCCACATGGTCATGCACATACTGTCGTCTTGTTATGAATGTAGTGTGGTACGTTTGGCCCGGCGTGGTGCTACTGGCGAGGCTCGTGCAGATGACTTGCGACTGCCGGTTCGGTGTGGACCTGCTAGCGTCGTGCGTGCAGGTGCCGGGTGGCTGTTGGTTCGGTGTGCCTCTGACAAGGTGCATGCAGATGAAGGGCGCCCATTGGCCCAGCTCGTAGCCGCCGACAACGACTCCTAGCAGGCGACTGGTGGGAGGCTGCACATAGTGGCCAGACGGGGTGTCGGCACCCTGTTTTGTGTGCTGCTCAGTGTTCTCCTGCACGTTTTGTTGCGGCATAATAGCCTATAAAAGACCATGTCCTTCCTCCACAGGTTGCAGCGTAGGGACAATATGTTGCGGTACATGGACGCAGTTGCTGTCTTTCAAATCGCGTCCTGTCCGTTGTACGTTTGCCCCCCAAAATATGCAACGTCATAGTGTACAGTTCTTGCCAGGATTGGGAGCCACCCAGTTTTTCAAAACAACATGACAGGCTTTTTTCCCTGACGGCAAGACCCCAGTGTGAGTAAACTACAGATTGTGGCTGCAGAACTTTGGTAGTGTAGAAACTGTCAAGCCATTATCTCGGGCTCGTTTTCATACCTCCAGCGTGATATGGGACTTAGCGTGATGGATTCTTAAACTCATTTTTGTCTTTCAAGATTTCTCTCTGCTGAAACAGCAAGTTCGTCGGTATTTGCGGAAGAAGTCCTCCGTAACACGCTAAATGGGACAAGGCTTCCCGGGTTTCAAACCAGGACGTTATTGGGCTAAGTCTATTGGGCACATTCCAAAATATTTAAAAGTATTTTTATTACATTCCAGCCGCTTCACAATGCACAAAATGAGTGTTGTTGAACAACGATATACAGGAATAACTTATTTTCTTCCACCACCAACGGACAAAGAAACGAACACATCATGCAGAAGCCTCCATTCCGTCATACGAGTAAACCTGACTGGAGTCATGCTCATTGTGTCCCTTGCTACTGGAGCTATAGCTGGATCGTAAGGTCATGGGTGCATATCCGCATGCCTCGCTGCGTCACTAATATGATCTGCCGTAGTCACCCAGAGAACGTCTTTAATGGCCGTAGTCGCGGCTGTAACCACCGTAGCCGCGTCCGTACCCGCCGAAGCTGCGGCGGTAACTATCATAGCCGCCACCGTATCCAGCGCCGTACCCACCGTATCCACCTCCGTAACCACCATATCCTCCGCCGTAACCACCGTATCCGCCTCCGTAGCCGCCGTATCCACCGCCGTACCCACCGTAACCGCTTGAGTACCTACGGTACCCCGCAGAGGCGACAGCCACAACGGCGGCGAGGACCAGAAGCTGGAAAAAATAAAGAATTATTTATATCTGTTATATCCTTGTCGGAAATCCGTCAAGAGCCATACTTCATGTACCATCAAAACGGAATATTGCCTTGAATGCTTAGGACATCCATTATGATCAACACTCAGAATTTTATTGGACTTTGGCAAGCTAGATCGGGAATGGTGGAGACGCTCAGAGAGTCCCGAAGCCATTGTATTGCTTATGACGGTGTCACAAATCTGGCTCAGACGAAGGGCTTTGCAATGGTTGGTAACCAGCGACGGTTAATGAGTATACTGACCAATAGGCAAGGACTGACAGCATGTCAACATCACCAATATAACAAAAGCGAGAAATTTGAATCATGCGGTCCAGCGCATTACGGATGATTTACTGAAGGACGCAGTTTCGTCTATCTGAGTTTTAAACACTGACTACTTGGGAGAGTGCATCAGAATCATTGCCGGCCATAACAAAAGCTACAAGCGACTCTTACGATGGCTGTAAATGGAAACATTCGTAGAAAGACAAGAGAAATTGTGTTTACAACTGGGAGATCGAATGGTTCGGACCCTATAGCACAGACGCATTCCTCCACCACTAAGTGTGGCGATCTCGTGCAGACAAACTTGAGGTGGAGAAAAACTTGAGATGTTATACTAGTGTACATGACTGTAAAGCTGCAGTCTTTTTACATCAAAACCCTCTTAGACATGACTATGACTGCAACAAATTAGGAGTGAGTAAAGCTGGTGCCATTTATATTGATACATACTTCTAAGCAGAGGCGCCGCAACAAATTGCTCATAGGACGGGGGGTAGGATTGTTTATAGGCTAGGCATGGCAAGAATATTTGAAGATAAAACAGGTATTAGGAATTACGCGGTCAGTGCCTGGTGGTCTCAAAAATAGTCGACGATATGCAAATTTCTCACGTGTTTTACGTTTTACCATTGTCACGTCCCTGAGCAATTGAGCAGGGGATGCGGGCAAGGGCTGAGACCCACAACTTTCTCGAAATCTAGCATTAGCCATTGGTGTTGACTCAAAATAAATCGTCCGATTACCTTTCATATCCTCTTCCCATTAACGTAGAAGGAATCCGTTGCGTTGCACCCGCCCGTTTCGCCGTGCCGTCAGAACAACCTAACGCAGTTCCGTAACTTCTGCTCAGCACTAAGCAAGCCTTGGCCTATATCGATGGCGATGCAATGTTTGACGTACCTATGTACAATGGAAACGACAATGCAAAGAAATCGTTTTACAAGATAGTATTTCAGTGATGCCTAAGGACAAAGTATTCGATGGTATCCACGCCTGGTATCTAATGTCAGGCGTGTATACCAGGCGTGATGTTTCCAATGTTACTGTCTATTTATATAAGGTAAAAACGATTAGTTAATGCTGTGTTTTATGACGGTGGTGATCAAAATATCCTAACTGCATGCTGCTTCAGGATCGTAGTCCACACACTCTTTGGATGCCTGCACCACCACCAGTTGTCGTGATGCATTGATCGCAGCAAAAAACGTTCACAGACGTGATGCGTTTAGACTGGCGTAACACCGCCTGTTCCGTTGGTAACGGGGTACAAGCTTATCTCATAACACCACCAATCATCCCGGCTTTGCACCCTTGTCGGAGTGATCTGGCTCTTCGACTAGAGTCACAGGGCTACACCTTAGTGTCTTGTTGTCATGCATGTGATGTAGTATCTTTGGCCCAGCGCGGAGCTGCTGGTGGGGCGCCTGTAGATGATTGGCGGCTGGTGGTTCGGCGTGGACCTGCTACCGTCGTACGTGCAGTTGCCGATTGGCTGTCGGTTCGGCGTGCCTCTGGCAGGGTGCATGCAGTTGTCAGGCGTCTATTGGCTCAGCTCGAGGCCGCCGACAGCGACTCCTAGCTGGCGATTGGCGACAGGCTGCACATGGTGTCCAGACGGTGCATCGTTAGCCTTTTCTGTATGGTGTACAGAGGCTGTCCTGCACCTTCTGTTAAGGCATGACGGCCTTTGAAAGAGTAGTATGGTCTTTTCTGCACAGGTCTCGGCATAAGGACCATATGTTATATTTCCTGAATGCATTTTCTGTCTTTTAAATCGTGGTCTGTTGGTTGCACACTCGCCCAAAGGAATTATTGAACCTTATAGTGTATATGGGACTGATATATGGGACGTGATATGGCACTCAGTGTCATCTATTTTCAAAGTCATTTTTCCTTGGAGTTTTGTCCCTGTTCAAATAGAAGGGTCGTCACTTCTTCCAGGGTAGAGGTACGTAGCCCCCCTAATGGGTCAACGCCTCACGGGTTCCAAAGTAAGACATTATTGGGCTAAGTCATAGCCGTGGTCATTCGCTCACAAACGCATTCAATAGCATTAAGTAGTACCTTCATTTCTTTCCAGCAGCTTTGCAATACACAAAATGGCTGTGGTTTTATGACATACAAGAATAATTTATTTTCTTCCACTATCAAAGGAAAATATAGGAACACATCACGCAAAAGCCTCTATTCAGACAGGGGATTCAACGTCACTAGGGTCGTGCTCATTGTGTCACTTGCTGCTGGAGTAATAGCTGCACCGGTAGCTCTTGGATGCATATTTGCCTTGCTGCGTGGCTGGTACGATCCGACGTAGCCACCCAGGGAACGTCTTTAATGACCGTAGCCGCGGCTGTAACCACTGTAGCCGCGCCCGTACCCGCCAAAGCTGCGGCTGTAACCACCATAGCCGCCACGGTATCCACCGCCGTAGCCACCGTATCCGCCACCGTAGCCCCCGTATCCTCCGCCGTAGCCACCGTATCGGCGGCCGTAGCCGCCGTATCCGCCAGAGTAGCCACCGTAACCGCCAGAGTACCGACGGTAGCCGGCAGAGGCGACAGCCACGACGGCGGCGATGAGCAGAAGCTGAAAAAACGAAGGACCATTCATATCTGTTATTATGCAATGTGGTGCAGTGTGCGGAGATAGGATCCCACAAGGTTGGTCAGACTAAGTCCCGCTGAACCTAAAAACAGCAGTGTTTTAATAATTTTGTATCAATATCTCAAATAACTCATCACAGTCGCAGAGATCTGGTTTCCTCTCTCTTGTACCTTCCACAGTTGCGTACGAAAATGACCTCACGCTGTGGTACACAGCAAAGTTTCCACGTGATGTTGGGCAAAATCTTTTGAATCCACAAAAAGCAGCTGGTCAGCGGTTTCGAATTAGCAACCTACATGTGTTGCAAGCTCACGTTATGCGTATTGGTAAAAGCGTACTGCTTGACAAAAACACAAAAACCTACCGCCAGCTTAGCGTTCATCTCTGGGCCTTGTGAAGTGTGCGGTTTGGGCGAGACGCAATGAGTGGATGCCGGCCCTTAGTTACGGCCCGCTTTTATACGGACAGGCCCTGAAGGTTGGCCTTCATTCACCTCACCCTGCTGGGAAATGGCTATGACGCGTGAGGCGTTGCATGCTCCCGGCAAACTATGGGAAAGGCCGACACTGAGCACGGAATTGCACAGTGCAAACACCTCGCTCTTGAGCGGGAGGACCATATGTGCAAAGGTCGTGAGAAGGCAAAACCTGGTGGCTACACAGGACGTAACTTTCGCTTTTTGGGTTCGATCCATGCTGAACACATGGAAAACATAAGGAGTGGATATGACCTGGGCGAACAGAAGCATGCTGTCTGTTCCATTCACGGGTGAACATTATCTAAACTCAAGGCCAGTCAAAGAAAAATGCTGGCAGCCATATATAATTTTGACGCAGTCGCTCTTTGCTGTTCCAAGACCAGTTGCAATACGTTATAAAAAGAAAGAAAGAAAACGAGGTCACGCTGCCAGGCTTGAATCGCTGTCGTATATCACAGTCCATAGAGTTCAAGAGATCCGTGAAGAACCTCACAAGAGCCAGGCGGCTAGACACATGGCTCCATGTAACGTCGAGACGGAGCATTGCTCAGAATGCTTAGGACACTCATTATGATCAAAACTTACGATATTATCGGATTTTGGCAAATATAGATCGGGTGCTGTGGAGACGCTCAGACAGTCCCGAAACAGTTGTGATGCCTTTGACTGTGTCACAAATTTAACGCAGACGAAGGCCTTAGGAATGTTCGTAACCGGCGACGGAGAATGGGTACATTCACGAACATGCAAGGGCTGACAGGATGTGAAAATCACCAAGTTATTCACTTATATCTGGGCTTCGTAGCTTCCTCTCAGCGCTGGACACGCTATCGCCTACGTCAACGACCGCATAACGTTTAGACGTGCCTACGAACACTAGACAAATATTGACAGCGGAATACTTAAGACGTCTTTGCGGACGAAGTACTCTATGGTATGAACGCCTGATTTCCGAAATGCTGTTCACTTCGAGAAACCAAAAACATTGAATCAGTTCCGCTATTTGTGACAGTGGTGATCAAAATATCCTAATTGCATGCTGCTCGAGGATCGTAGTTACCATACTCCTTGCAGGTCTGCACCACCACCGGCTATGGTGATGCCCTGAGGTAAGCCAAACGTTCCGAGACAAGATGCGTTAAGGCTGGCCATACGCCAATCTGTCCCGTTCGCCAGGGGGAACAAGCTCATCTCATAATACCACCAATCATCACGGCTTTGCACTCTTCTCGGAGTAGTCTGGCTTCTCAACTAAAGCCACACGGCCATGCCATAGTGCCTTGTTGTCATGAACGTGGTGTGATACTTTTGGCCCAGCGTTGTGCTGCTGGCATCGCGCGTGTAGATGGCTTGCAGCTGCTGTTTCGTCGTGGAGCTGCCAGCGTCGTGCGTGCAGGTGCCGGGTGGCTGTTGGCCCGGCGTGCTTCTAGGAGAGTGCATGCAGACAGCGGGCGCCTATTGGCTCAGCTCGCAGCCGCCGACAGCGACTCCTAGTTGGCGACTGGTGACAGACTGCACATGGTGACCAGACGGCGCATCGTCAGCCTGTTTTGTGTTCTGCACAAAGACTGTATTGCACCTTCTGTTGAGGTATGATGGCCTATAGAGGACCACAACTTTTCTCCACAGTTCTGACTACAAAGGCCATATGTTGCATCCCATGAATGCATTTCCCGTCTTTCAAATCGGGGCCTGTCGGTTGCACGCTCGCCCCAAAAATTATGCACCCTCATAGTGAATAGATATGTGCAAAGGTCGTGACAAGGCAAAACCCGCTGCCTACACCGGACGTAACTTTTGCTTTTGGGTTGTGTTCATGCTGAACGCATGGAGAGCATGAGGAGTGGATATGACACGACCAAGCAAAATGTGCTGCCTATATTAAACATAGATAATGCTGTATATTCCACTCGTTGGTGAACATTACCTAAAGCCAAGACCAGTCCAAGAAAAATGCTGGCACCAATAAACGCATGCAACATTTTTACGCAGCTCTTCTTCGCTCTTCCAAGATCAGTTACAACACGTTGCATGAAAGAAGAAAAACGAGGTGACGCCATCTGCCTTGAATCACTGTCGTATTTCATTCTTATTCGCCATTCGTATTTTTTTTTCGTATTTATGTGGTAAGTCCATGGAGTCCAAGAGATCTGTCATGGAGTTCGCGAAGGCCAGGCGGCTCGGCACATTTCTTCATGTAACACCAAAACGGAATATTGCCTAGAATGCTTAGGGCATCCATTATGATTAAAACTCAGGACGATATGTTATTTTGGAAAAATATATCTGGTACTGGTGATACGCTCAGAGAGTCACGAAACCGTTTTATTGCTTATGACGGTGTCACCAATTTAGCACAGACGAAGGGTTCTGGAATGGTTGTTAACCGGCGACGGGTAATGGGTATATTGGCCAAGAGGCGGGGTCTGACGGGATGTCAAAATCACCAGTATATCACCTGCAAATAATTTTCAACGTGCGATCCAGCGCATTACGGATTATTTGCAGAGGGACGCAGTTTTGTCTATCTGAATTTCAAAGGCGGACAGGTTGGGAGAGTGTATCAGAATCATTGCCGTCTAGTACAAAACCTATAAGCGGCTCTCACAATGGCTGTAAATGGAAACACACACAGGAAGACAAGAGCAACTGTGTTTGCAGCTGGGAGATCAAATTATTCGGGCCCTATAGCATAGAGGGATACCACCACCAATAGCCAGTTTCTCAAAGCGAAAGTACAATCTTACGCCAAGTATTAATGCGTACTTTCGATTTTACAAACTACACATTAAGCCAAATACTCAAAGCCGTCACGTGACCTTTGTCGTAGGTTGTACATTTGGCAGTGGTGTAGATTTGTGTGTCCCGTTGCCAAAACAATGACCACCAAACTCGAAATAATTCTAGCAGCCATAAACAGACGTCTTATGTTTTGAGTGTGTGTTGCCTTCACCCAAACTGCCATCGATTAAGACAAAATAATATATAAGTTTTCAGTTGCCTGGTTCGACATCAAACCAGCCACGTAAGCTTACGATTTTGGGGATATTATCTCCAGCTACAATTATGACGCTTTGGTTGAAATGCAACGCTTATCAGGATATGAAAGCAAAGGGATATGTGGCGGTGGTGCAGTGGCTAACGCGTCTGGGTGCGGGGTTTGGTTACTCGTGGTGCCCGCGTTTCCGCCAGGATGAGAGGCAGTTGACGCCATCTAATCGAAGCAGCTGAGTGCGCTCTAAATCCCCAATGACGACCATGAACAAAGGAAGAGTACGCTTGGCAGTGTTCAAGGAGAGAGAGAGAGAGAGAGAGAGAGAGAGAGAGAGAGAGAGAGAGAGAGAGAGAGAGAGAGAGAGAGAGAGAGAGAGGGGGGGGAGGGAGGGAGGGAGGGAGGGAGGGAGGGAGGGAGGGAGGGAGGGAGAGAGGGAGAGAGAGAGAGAGAGAGAGAGGGAGAGAGAGAGAGAAGTGGAGACAGCTCCCCGTCCGCAAGAAATTTGTGTGTGACCATTTCTCGTCGACTCGCATATGGTGGTGCGCACCCACTTTTCAGCAACACCATTTAGTTGCGTCGACCGCTGCGCGTTTTTTTCTTGCCATCGACGCGCTGTGTTTGTAAGTCTCCGTGCTACGTAATAAACAGAGCAGCACGTTTTGTAGGTGTGTGTGGCCTTGTGGAGATACGTGCCGAAGTAGGGCTGGTTTTGGTGGCAATGTTGTCCATAATTGATAAATTCGGTGAAGGAAGTTTTTTCCATTCATCAGCTCCTTCATTGTTCAGGTTCATCCTAAAATGTTCCATTCAAGGAGGCTTTATTTTGCATAGCGATTGTGGACGAGATCATGTGAATAGTAAGTACATAATGCCTGTGCTTACTAAGCATATCCTGGGCATTGAAGGTGGGACTGCCAGACCTTAGCCTTCAGAGCTTAAGGGAACATGTGAAGTAAACACGAACTATAATTGAGCACTGAAAAAGGGCCATTCATGGATCCAATCATAAGCAGCCTGCTGTACTTGTCATTGGGAATAGGCCCTCTATATGGCTGATCATTGAGAGTATGTTTCTATGGTATGATTTTATGCAGGCTAGCTGCTGCTGTATGGCATAGTGGTACACAAGATGCATGCAGCTATGTTATCCAAATGAACTCAATTTTAGAGTGTAATCCTTGTGTCATGCTGTGCCACTTTGATGCATTTATTGCACATCATGTCTCCAACCAGGGTAGGCACTACAGGTGACACTGCTGCCCATGTCTCACTTTGAAAGTGTCTGGAATACAACTTGCATGGGCATGGAATGTATGGCGTGCATAACAAGTATTGTGGCAGCCACACAAATTTCTTTCAATTGTGATGTATTTTGATGCTCTTATTAAGGAAGCTCCTTGACCATGCAGTTTTGCTTTATCTTTTGGTCTTGGCATGCCCTACCTAGGGCTTCTTGCCTGAAAGACTGGAACACTCACTATTACGTGCTCACATTCAAGCTTCATGCTCTGTTATGCCTTTAGCAGCTGTTGCATGTTGTTTAGGCTTGTCACTGCAGCAATTTGTCTTTCAATAAGTAACAGTCCTAAGGTCAGTGTTATAATCTATGACACTGTTGCTTGCATTGATTGCATTGCCAAATTCATCAAGGACCTATCAAAATTAAGCTCTGTCGTACATTTGTTCTTGGCTTTGAGAAGCTCATGCAAGACTGTTTGCACATATTTGTGTCGTAGATTGTACATTATCTGTGTATTTTTTCAGTGTCATAGATTGTAGTTGTAAGTTGTACATTTTTGCTTTGAGAAACTGGATTTACGATTGTACGCCAAAAATATATGATTTATGCCAAAAATCTACAAATTTCTGTTTTGAGAAACTGGCTACAAGTGTGGCGATCTCAGGCAGATGAACTTGAAGTGGAGAAAAACTTGAGACGTTTTACTAGTATACATGGGTGCGAAACTGATGTTTTTGATGTCCCCCATACATGAAAACCCTCCTAAACATGGCTTTGATTACAAGAAATTAGTGGTGAGTAGAGCTAGTACCATTTGTGTTGGCAGATATTTGTAAGCAGATACGCCGCAATCAGTTGTTCATAGGACGGGTGGAAGACTAGGCATGGCAATAATAGTTGAAGAGTTACAAATATATGGGCAACTATGTGTTTATTAGCGGTGGTCCCAAAAATAGTCATGGCTATGCAAACTTCTCATGTGTTTTCGTTATATCATTGACACGTGCGTGAGCAATTGAGCCGGGAATGGGGGCAAGTGCCGAGACCCACAACTGTCTCGAAGTCTAGCGTTATCCATTGGTGTTGACTCGAAATAAATCATCCGATTGGCTTTATATCCTCTTCCCATTAACGTTGAACGAATCCGTTGCGCTGCGCCCGCCCGTTTCGCCGTGCCGTCAGAACAATTAAATGCAGTTTCGTAGCTTCTGCTCAGCGCTAAGCAGGCCTTGGCCTATATCGATGGTCATGCAATGTTTAGACGTGCCTATGTACCATAAAACAGTTTTGCAAGATAGTATCTCAGGTATATCTAAAGGCAAAGTATTCGACGGTATCATTAGCGCCTGTGACAAAGTATTCGATGGTGTCATTACTAACACGCCTGATATCTAATATCAGGAGGGGATACCAGGCGTGATATTTACAACCTTATTGTTCACTTTGATAATGTAATTACAATGAGTTAACTTGGTTATTATGACGGTGGTGATCAAAGCATCCTAATGGTATGCTTCTTGAGGATCTTAGTTCACACACTCTGTGCAGGCCTGCACTACCACCGGTTGTCGTGATGCATTGAGCACAGCAAAAAACATTCACAGACGTGATGCGTTTGGGCTGGAATAACACCGCCTGTTCCGTTGGCAACGGGTAATAAGCTAATCTAATAACACCGCCAATCATCCCGGCTAAGTACGCTTCCCGAAGCGATCTGACGCTTCGACGGGGGCTGCACGGCAAATACACCTTGGTGTCTTGCTGTCAGGCACGTGGTGTGGCACTTTTGGCCCAGGGTAGAGATGCTGGTGGGGCCTGTATACATGAATGCATTTTCTACCTTTGAAATCGTAGCCTGTCGGTTGCACGCTTGCCCCAAAAATTATGCAGCCCCATAGTGTGCACTTCTTGCCAGAGTTGGAGACCACGCAGTCTTCCAAAGCAACAAGACAGGTTGAGGTCACTAACGGCAGGACACCAGCGTAAAGAGGCTGCAACTTGTGGCTGCAGTGCCTGGGCAGTGTGGAAACTGTCACGCCACTATCTCAAGCTCATTCTCATACTTCCAGCATGATATTCGACTCAGCGTTATCTCTACTTAAAGTAATTTTGTCCTTGGAGCTTTGTCCCTGCAGAAAACGTACGGTCATCGATACTTCCAGAGGAAGGATGAAACCCTCATTTCTTTCCAACCGATTCACAATGCACAAAATGAGTGCGGTTGCAAAATGGTATAAGAGTATAATATATAGTCGACCATCAACGGACAAATAGAAAACACATCACGCAAAAACCTCTATTCAGACAGGGGTCTGAACGTGACTGGGGTGGTGCTCACTGTGCCACTTTCTGTTGGAGTAATAGGTGGATCGGTAGCTCCTAAAAGCATATCCGTATGCCTTGCTGCGTGATTAGAACGATCTGACGTAGTCGCCCAGACACCGTCTTCAGTGGCCGTAGCCGCGGTTGTAACCATTATAGCCTCCGCTGTAACCACCATAGCCGCGGCTGTAACCACCATAGCCGCCACCGTATCCACCGCCGTAGCCACCGTATCCGCCACCGTAGCCACCGTATCCTCCGCCGTAGCCACCGTATTGGCGGCCGTAGCCGCCGTATCCACCAGAGCGGCCACCGTAACTGCCAGAGTACCCACGGTAGCCGGCAGAGGCGAGAGCCACAACGGCGGCGATGAGCAGAAGCTGAAAAAAAAAAACAAAGGACCATTGATATCTGTTCGTATGGACTGTGGTACAGTGTGTGAAGGCAGGATCCCACAAAGCCTGATCAGATAAAGTCCCGCTTAATCTAAAAACAGGACTATTCTAACAACTTGTAGCGAGGTTTCGACTAACTGATCACAGCCGCAGAGATCTGATTTCGCCTTTCTTGTACCCTCCACAGCTGAGTACGAAGATGACCTAGCGCTGTGGTATATAGCAAAGTTCTCCACGTGACGTTGGGCACAATCTTTCAAACCCAGAAAGAGTAGCTGATCATGCAATTTCGAATATGCAACTTTAGCGTTCTAAACTTAGGTTATGCGTACGGGTAAGAGTACTGCCTCACAAGCACACAAAAACCTACCACCAGCTTAGCGTTCATCTCTGCGTCCTGTGAAGTGTGCGGCTTGGGCGAAACACAATGAGTGGATGCCGGCCCTTAGTTACGGCCCGCTTTTATACGGGCAGGCCCTGAAGGTTGGCCTTCATTCACCTCACCCCGCTGGGAAATGGCTATGACGCATGAGGTGGTGCATGCTCCCGGCAAACTGTGGAGAAGGCCGACACCGAGCACGGCATTGAACAGTGCAGACCCCACTTTCTTGCGCAGGAGGATCATGTGTACATAGGTCATGAGAAGGTCAAACCTGGTGGCCATACGGGACGTAAATTTGTAATTGAGTTGCATCCATGCTGAACGCATGGAAAGCGTGATGAATGGATGTGGCACGACGGAACCAGAACATGCTGTTCGTGCCATTCATTGCAACGAAAATACGGGCTGCACGCCAACACCACTAATTCGCTGGTGTATGTCCAAGTCGATGAAACTGCATGAGATCCATTGAGACCTTCGCAAAGGCCAGACGGCTCGGCGCATGACTTCATACTTGTAGCCCGACATGTACCGATAACATGGTTCTAGAGACACCTAACAACAGTGTCGCTTTTGGCTTTGTGACGTTATCGTACATTAAGTTGGAATCGTTGGCGACCTTCACTGTCTCGCGTAGTCATTACCGGCGCAAAACTCGCATTTGCTATCATTGTCCCAAATATTTAGAGAAGAACCCATGTAATATTCGTATCAACAGATGCAAACGATGTTTCGTAACACCTCTAGCACCTTCATTTAGTTTTATGTGCAATATGATGACAATAAAAACGCTGCATTTTACGCCTGTCCACCGCTCAGTACGTTAAGTCAGAGGTGTGACGGGCGATGTGGGACGCCTACAGCAGCGATGCCTGCCCTCTTACCTCAAAGCTACTGTTTCTCACAGCAGCAGCAAGCCATGGATGAAGGTTTGACATGCGTCGCCCCAACGTCCTCTGTTTACCCCTGAAGCTACAGCTCAGTTTTGCTCAAACAGCGGTCTCGTTAGATCGGCAGGGTTCTTTAACGCCATTTCATAAAAAGCTGGCGATAGCTGCGTTCTTCTAGCCAGTCAGCTTCTCACGACATGACCAAAACTAACAGCAGCCCATTGCTTTGCACTGAACCCAACGCACTGCCGCGCGGCGAGCATTCGAGCCCATCTCTCTCAAATGGCACGACGCTTTAAGACGCTGCGTAGCGACCTGATCACGCTCGTCGCGAGATACTGTGACCAGCCACGCTTTTCACGACTAGCGATGAACCTAGTTATTTGGTATTTTGTGTTGTTAAGTATGTGAAGTGAATCTTTGCATAGTCTAGAATCTCGGTACCTTGGAATCTTGGTCAAGTATGTGAAGTGAAAAGTCCCTGAAAAGCCCTGATCTGAGGGGCATTGGAAAGCACTATGTCGCCATTGATCTGTGACGTCACCACTGATAAAGCATAGTTTGTTGCATTTTTCTGGCACATACTAAAAACCATCAGATCGACACGCGCTTGGGTGGTGGTCAAATTGGCCACCGGGATGTTTTTCCGGAATGGTTTTTAAACGGTACGGCGTAGCCGCGTCAACTTTTGCATAGCTGTAGACAATTGGATAGCAAATCATTTGGTATAAAAATTGATATATCTTGTAAGGTTGCTGACCTATGGCAGGTCAAAATCAGGCCATGATTTCAGCGAAGGCAATTTCTACTGAATCATTCAATGTGGTCAAACAACGGAGTGTTTGACGAAGGCATGCTTCTCTGGAATACTTTCTTAGGCAACAAAACAGTTGAATGAAAAAATTACATTGACCTAGGGTCACATGGAAAAGTCAGGCCACGGTCAAAACAAGTCTGTTGTATTACGTAGGGCTGTGGGGGGGCAGTTTGTAGGGCTTATTTGGATTTATTGATAGCAGGAACCGCATTATATAGCTTCCATAGACCCATAAATGTCAGAACAGATCACTGATTTAAAATGACCAGGTCACCGTTTTGTTTTTAGGAACATAGTGCCTAGCGTAATAAGTGTCGCTTATTCAAATGCAAAACCCAAAGCAGTCACGTTATTTTGGTCACCACGACCTTAAAAGGGTAAAACAAGGTCACTGACTTTAAATGAGCGTGCGGCTTTTTGCCTAGAAGATTTAACTATGTTCCAAGGTCTCTTTGGAGACGAACCTAAAATTTGACTTGCTCGACCTTGTTTGACCAGAAGGTCAAGACCAATGAACGTCAAAATTTGACCTACGTGGGTTCATGTACAGTTCAGCATCTGTGAATTTGGTGTCTCTAGCTCTCTTAGTTCCTGAGATCTCAGAGGATCACATTGCCCCCCCCCCCCATCCGAAAGATTTGTATATGAGCGGCCACCCGGACGCGCGTTAAAGCTTCTATGTTTGGTGGCATGTCATGGCTCAACTTGCTCATACAGCAAAACGTCAACGTTTCGACACGTGTTCTAAACATGCTCACGTTACTAAACATGTGCGCGAATATAGACCAATACTCCCCTTTGAGTTTCGCCCAGTCGATATGGTCTGTTGTAATGTTGTCTGGTCTGTTGAAATTTGTTTTCATCTTCGCATTTTTCACCAATCGGTTCGCAAAGGTGTCAGTTTTTGTCACCGATCATATCCGGTAAATCAGAAGCCTTTTCACCTGTAAAGGTGGTGAAACTTATGATAGTAAAGACTTGTAAACGGAGGCGGTGCCACACATTTGTCATAGGGGAGTGGGAAAAAGGCCTGACAAGAATATTTCATTGCATTAAAATGCTTGAGAAACTATGTGTCCGTTACCTGCTGTAGCCAGTTTCTCAAAGCAAAAGTACAATCTTACGCCAAGTATTAATGTGTACTTCCGAATTCACAAACTACACATTAAGCCAGTTTCTCAAAGCTGTCACGTGACCTTTGTCGTAGTTTGTAAGTTGTCAGTTGACGTAGTTTTCCTCCTTGCATATCGAGGTTCGTTGCCATGGGTACGATGTCTGTTGCCATGGCAACGCCGGCGCCGGGCGATGAATGAAATGCCAGGTGTTTGATAGTGACTCATCCATTTTCGACGCAGTCCTTCCGAGCGTATAGTGTGTTAAAGATGAGTTCGCGGGTGATTCTACGCAAGGAGAAGGCCCAGCTTTTTAGAGAAATTCGGGACAGGAAGGACGTAAGTATCTTTTTCAGATAATCAGGCTTACATGCATCCGTGCCATTCTAGCTTAAATGCATTCGTCGCATAAGTATTTCTAAACATGTAGTAATAGATATCCTGGAAATGCGTGCGTTATGTAGCTTTCTCATTGAACATTTTTCAAGGACGAATTGGCATGCGCATTCAGAAATCTTCCGAAGCAAACTTTTATCGGCATTGTAGCTATCCAACATTGCTTTTTAATTCTGGGTGGGGAGGATCGAACAAAAACCTGTTTTCATCATGACACACTCCAAAGGTGATGGCCGTGAATTACGTTACGCTTTGGCCATTTCCCGTTTTAACTGCTTTAATTTTCCATTTTATTTGTTTTACTAGCCCGGATTGCTAAAAAAATGCGTGGTGTCCCCATACCTTGCAGACACTTGTTGGACGATTCCAGTCCTGCAGTGGCCAGGCCAGGTGGCAGACCGGCTGGGATGCCGTGCTGGATCTGGCCAAGCAAGTAGGCCTAGTGAAGGGCAGCATGGACGCCCGTGGCTTCCGCCACGGGCTCTATGCCAACCAGTTGCGGTCCGAAGGGAGGTAAGGCCTGTACAAACTGCTTGCTGCGTAAATTAAAAAAAACTACCATGGGATATGTGCGCGTCACTCTTGCCTTGATTAGCACATACAAGTGACAACTGCATCTGGTCATTAGTTCAGCTGGGCCCTGATTGCTTGATTTCACTACATGGCCAAGACTGCTCTGACACTATCACTGAAATAAGGGCTCCGCGCCCGAGCGTGGGGTAGCTCCTCTGGCAGAGTGACCCGCACCACTCGCACCACTCGTCTGTTTCGCCACTTTGCCCACTTTATTGCCTTCCGCGGCGGCTGTCGTCTGCTCGCAGCGGCGCGGCCGCCTGGCAGCCTGTGAGAGCGCATTTGTCGGCTGTGGCCTGAAATTGCTGCAATCGGGGCGCCAGGCTGAGCCATTTCATTTGCGTGTTCATAAATACTGTGCTTATGGCACTACACAACAATCACGGATTCGCTATGATTGTTAGTTTATTGCTAGTTAGGTCAAATATAGCGCACCGCCAACCACGCTTTAGCAGGGAGGTGGCGGAAAGAACCCACGCCGCCATAACTAATCAACCTTTTAAAATAGTTGAGATGAAACCTGCAAATGGGCAGTACTATGTTGTGGTGAGAATAGTAAATATGTCTGAATTGTTAACTCTAGATTTAATTGATAGTGATGCAATAAATTGGGATGATAAGTACATGGCGTTTTCAATTGATAAGTACTGAAAGGTGGACAATTAGCGTTACCATAAAAAGACACGCCAATCGACGAGCGGGAACAGACTGACGCCATTACTGTGAATTCCGAGCAGTTATGGCAGCGGTGGTGTGTCGGGCGGGTGGTGAGGACAACATTGCAGGAAGTGTCTAAGGTGTAGAGGAGTAGATAACCGTAAATAAGTTCATTTTCGTGCCGACTATGTGGTGGTCTTGGGCGTGCCAGCTAAATGAGGTTATTTGGCGCCCAACCTTAGCTCGTAGATATCAGTGGCAAGGAGAACCGGTCTGCAGTGAACCATTTACGACACATGATCACAAGCAGCCGCCGGGGTTGTGGGGAAGGAACCAAGCAAAGTGCATTCCAGACATTCGAAACGTTGAATTACTCACTGATCACGTCGGGCAGCCTATGCGTCCGAAAGAACTTCTCTGTCATGATCTGAAGATGGGGCTGCTGCGGCCAGGCAATTGATTTGCCAAATGCATGTACTAAGGCAAATGCTACACTTTGAATGCAGCGGCACACAGTAGCCTTTGAAGGCCCATGCCCATCTCCAATCAGTAGACAGAAGCCTCCTGTAGCAAATAATCTGGAAATCAAGACAGCAGTGTAGTTGGCATAGCAATATGATCCATTTTACGACAAGGTAATAGCAAAGCTGTTGGATGATGCAAGATATTATTACCTAAAAGAGCAAATTGAAACCAGTTTGTATCTAAATATTGCGCAACACTAAGTGCATCAAAGGATAGTGATTTCAGGCAGCAATGCTTGGAGGTAGGTAGAATTTGGTGCTCATGAATCGTAATGCAGTGCCAATATGCCACATATTTACCTCAATGCCAGAAGAAACTGTTGGTGAGGGAGCAAAGCTCGGCCCATTCCAGTAGAATGTGCCAGTTGTGGTCCTATGTGACCAATAATAGTTTCAGCCGTGTTAGCTGATATCCTGAATCTCATCCTGGAAAACAGATATCTTGAAACTATTGGATGCAAGTAGGCATGTGTAGCAAGTGTCAGTGTATAACTTAGGTTTCTGTAACATAATGTTCAACATGCCAATGAATTAGAAACTCAGGTTTCTGTAACGTATGCTCAACATGCCAATGAAGTAGACTGTTTCACAATCATTGTCATTTCACATGATTTGAGTCTTTGTTGCAAATACCATAGAGGACACATAACTTACCTAAAGCTCTCAGCTACTTGCCACCTAAGGTTTATCTTTGGTCTATACATCCTTTGTCTTCTTCCCCTGGGTTCACGATGTTGCTCTTCCATTCTTCACTTAGTTTATGCTTTAACTTCAACTTTAACTTACTTACTGCTTCTTGAAATGTACAGGGAAATGAGGAACTCTTGAGTACTGTATAAGGAACTGACAGAATGTTAGAAACACGCAAGCTTGGGTGTCGTTGATTATGTTGCCAAATATGGCCTTCCTCCATCCGAATGTACGTTGTGACGTAATTTGTGTATGGCTACGAGAAACTAATGAAAGATTGTTTGCGTATATTTGTGTCGTATATTGTACATTTTCTGTGCATTTTTGAGTGCCGTGAACCGTAGTTGTAAGTTGTACATTTTTGCTTTGAGAAACTGCATTTTACGATTGTGCGCCAAACATACACGATTTGCGCCAAAAATCTACGAATTTCTGTTTTAAGAAACTGGCTACAGGTAGCGTCAAAATTATCAATTGTATGCATATTTCTTATGTGTTTGACGTTACACCATTGTCATGTACGTGAGCAATTGAACCGGAGATGGAGGCGGGAGCTGAGACCCACAACGTTCTGGAAGTCTTACCTTAGCCATGCTTGCGTTAACTTACAACAAATCATTCAATTGGCCTCCGCACCTTCTTCCAATAAACGTAGAAGGAACCCGTTGCACCTTGTCCGCCCGCTGCGCCAAGCCGTCAGAAAAAGTTAACGCGGTTTTGTAGCTTCTTCTCAACACTGGGCAAGGTATCGCCTACATCAACGACCATCCAAATTTAAGATGTGCCTATGTGCGCTAGAAAATTTGACAGTGAGATATTTAAGACATCTTTGCGGATGAATTACTCTATCGTATGGATGTCTGATTTCCAAACTTATTGTTCACTTAGGGAAAAATAAAAGCATTGAGTTAATGCCGTCATTTGTGACAGTAATGATCGAAATATTCTAATTGCATGCCGCTCGAGGATCGCAGTTAACATACTCTTTGGACGTTGCACCACCACCGGTTATGGTGACCTTATGGGTTATGGGTTATGCCCTGAGCTCAGCCAAACGTTCAGACATGATGCGTTAAGACTGGCAGCGCGCCAGCCTGTTCCGTTCGCAACGGGGAACAAGCTGATCTCATAACACCACCAATCATCCCGGCTTTGCATTCTTCTCGGGGTGATCTGGCTCTTCGGCTAGAGCCACCTGGCTATGGCATAGTGTCTTGTTGTCATGAATGCGGCGTTGTACTTTTGGCCCAGCGTTGTGCTGCTGGTGGGGCGCGTGTAGATGACTTGCGGCTGCTGGTTCGGCGTGGACCTGCTAGCGTCGTACGTGCAGGTGCCGGGTGGCTGTTGGTTTGACGCGTCCCTGGCAGGGTTCATGCAGATATCAGGCGTCTATTGGCTCAGCTCGTAGCCGCTGACAGCGACTCCGAGACGACGACTGGCGACAGGCTTCACTTGGTGGCCAGACGGCGCATCGTCACCCTGTTCCGTGTTCTGTACAGAGGCTGTCCTGCACCTTCTATTGAAGCATGATAGCCTTTGAAAGAGTAATATCATATTTCCTCTACAGGTCTCGGCATGGGGCCATATGGTTCACTCCATGAATGCATCTCCCGTCTTTTAAATCGGGGTCTGTCGGCTGCACGCTTGCCCCCAAAACAATTATGCAGCCTCATAGTGTACACTTCTTGCCAGATTTGGAAACCACACAGTCTTCCAAAGCAGCATGACAGATTGAGTTCAATGCTGGCAAGACGCCAGCGTCAAGAGGTTGCAACTTGTGGCTGCAGTGCCTGGGCACCGTAGAAACTGTCATGTCATTATCTCTGGCCTGTTCTCATACCTTCAGTATGATATCCGACTCAGCGTTATCATTTCTTAAAGGCATTTTTGTCTTTTGAGCGTTGTCGTTGTTAAAATAATACGTTCGTCGGTACTCCCAGAGGAAGAGGTACGTAACGTGCTAAATGGAACAAGGCCTCCGGGTTTTAAGCCAATATATCGGGCTCAATCTTCGCCGTACAGCCATTTGTGCGCAAACACATTCAGCCGAATCCAATGAAACCTTCACTTCTTTCTAACTGCCTTACAATGCACAAATCGAGTGCGGTTGTACAATGATATAGGAGTATAATTTATGTTCTTCGACCATCAACTGACAAATCAAGGAACACACCACGCAAAGACCTTCATTCAGACAGGGGATCGAACGTGACTGGTGCGGTGCTCACTGTGTCACTTGCTGCTTGAGTAGTAGGTGAATCGGTATCTGGTCGGTGCATATCCGCATGCCTTGCTGCGTGACTAGTACCATCTGACGTAGCCACCCAGAAAACATCTTTAGTGGCCGTAGCCACGATTGTAACCGTGGTAGCCGCCGTTGTAACCACCGTAGCCGCGGTTGTAACCACCATAGCCGCCACCGTATCCACCGCCGTAGCCACCGTATCCGCCGCCGTATCCACCGTATCGGCGACCGTAGCCGCCGTATCCACCAGAGTAGCCACCGTAGCCGCCAGAGTACCCACGGTAGCTGGCAGAGGTGACAGCCACAACTGCGGCGACGAGCAGAAGCTGAAAAAAAGAGAACCATTGATATATGTTACCATGGAATGTGCGGCAGTGTGTAGAAGCAGGATCCCACAAAGCCTGGTAAGTCTAAGTCCCGGTAAATCTAAAGACAGAAATGCTCTAGCGCTTTCGTATCGAGGCCTCGAATAACTGATTACAGTGTCAGAGATTTGATATCGCCTCCTTGTGCCTTCCAACTTCGCGTAGAAAAAAAGGTCCTTACACTGTGGTATAAAGCACAGTTTCCACCTAATATTGATCACGGTATCTCAAATCCAGAAAGAGCAGCTGATAAGCAATTCCGAACAGGCAACCTACATACGCTCCAAGCCCACGTTATGCTTGTGGGTAAAAGTGTAATGCATCACAAGCATACAAAACCTACCACCAGCATAACGTTCATCTCTGCGTCTTGTGAAGTGTGCGGGTTGGGAGAGACACAACGAGTGGACGCCGGCTCTTAGTTACGGCCGGTTTTTATACGGGCCTTGTTGCAAGCTTGGCCTTTATTCATCTCACCTCGCTGGGAAATAACCATGACGCATGAGGCGGTGCGTGCTCCCGGCAAGCTATGGAAAAGACCGTCACTGAGCACGGCATTGTTCAGTGCAAACCCCACGCTCTTGAACAGGAAGGCCATATGTGAAAACGTCGGGAAAAGGCAAAGCCCTGTGGCCGCGCAGGGCATAGCTTTTTCTTATGAGTTGAATCCATGCTGAACACGGAAAACGTGACGAGTGGACATGACCTGAGTGAACAAAAACATGCTGGCTGTTCTATTCATTGGGCAATATGATTTAAAAAAGCAAGAGCAGTCGAAGAAAAATGTTGGCACCCAAAAACACATACTGCATTTTCACGCAGCCCTCGCTCTCGCCTCCCCCTGAAAGCTTGACAGTCTTGCGCGAGAAGATTTACCGTGGTCTTCTGGCCGCGAAGAAATCGAACATGATTCAAATCACCTTCACGCGAAATGGACAGGTGTTCTTCGAAAAGGAATAGCACAGTGTCGGCAGATGTGTAAATACGATCGAGAAGTTGTGAACCCGGCATCCAGCTTGTTCCGCGGCAGACTGCCAAGGGGTGGGTGTTTGTACGGGAGGAAGTTTGGTACCTGTTGGGTTTTTCAGATTATATTCCTTTTGCGCCGCGTGTAAATTATTTCCGTTCTTCCCCTCTCATGCCATACGTGGGAGTTGTCTCCCAATTGATCGGCTATTTTGTATCGTGTTTGTGGTTGGAGAAGTGAACCGTTGTTTGGAAGCTTTAGGGTAGGAGTGGCAAAGTCATGCCCGGGGCGCGCTCTCGGATTGCCTGTCAGATGTTTAAAAATATGTATTCTCTCGGTATTCGCGTTTGCCGTAGGTTGCGGAGAGACTATATTTTTGCTTTGGTCACCAAGTAGGGATTTTTTGCCAGGTGTTATAGTGTGCTTGGTTCTTTCAGCAGCCTCGGACCCATTGACGTTTAGTAGATAAAGTAGGGATTTTTTGCCAGGTGTTATGGTGTGCTTCGTTCTTTCAGCAGCCTCGGACCCATTGACTGTTTAGTAGATAAAGTAGGGATTTTTTGCCAGGTGTTATAGTGTGCTTGGTTCTTTCAGCAGCCTCGGACCCATTGACGTTTAGTAGATAAAGTAGGGATTTTTTGCCAGGTGTTATAGTGCGCTTGGTTCTTTCAGCAGTCTCGGACCCATTGACGTTTAGTAGATAAAGGACGTGCTTAGCCGCGGGCTCTGCGTATGTGTTATTGAGTCTATGAATGACTTGCGTGTTCATTATCACACACGGAGTGTTTATGTATGTCTTATCAGCAGTACGTTGTTCTCGGCAGCTGTTTCGTCAGTTTAGGAGACAGCGTTGTAATGGCCTGGAATCGCCTACTGGTCGCTCGCTGTCAAGAGTGTAACTGGGAGTCGCTTTTGGCAGCAAGCGGGCGAGATGAATTATATTACAGCACTGGTGTTTGATCATTCAAATCAGTGGCGCACGGATCTGTGTGATAAGTATCCGCGGATTGGCCGATCACAAAATGAGACGAGAAGTGTTTCGCTTTCTGCGCAAATCTAACTTCACATTTATTGTCCTCAAGATGTGTATTGTAAGAAAGGGAAGAAGAGCATGTTCAGGCACGCCTGGGGGAAGGGTACATTAGGAGTTGATTTTTTGAGGTGTGTAAATGGATAATGATTCTGACCAATACAATACAATTTGATTTTCTGAACAGTAAAACTGACAGCGAGAGTGGAGATATATTATTACATTATCACTAAAGTAAGAATAGAAAGCAAACGAGAGCTTTTGTTGGCAAAGTTGTGTGGCCTTTATCGTGATACTATTCAATTTTTTAATGAACTCCGGCAAGAAATAGTACATTCTCGGGGCACAGAAAGAATTTAAATCATAATGGTGCAGACTTCTTCTTGGCATTTTCCTAAAACAACAGTGCGTGCAATCACGCCCGTAAACACAACCCTCCGTTGATAGGCTTCTGCTGGCGATCAAGGCCGAGAAGAATATATTTGTCGAATCGCTCATGTCTAGCGTTCGTGAGCACAATATCCAAACATAACCGCCGTCAAGTGGCTCACAATCAATGTTGTGCAAGGCACAACGTTATCAAACAATGTGGTATTGAGAAACAGATTCTTTGAACAGGTGAATTGGGATGTCTAGAGAAGTATTTTTCACTTGGCGCAGGGGTGTCGATTTCTTGAAAACTTTGGGGGGGCCCAACCCAGTGGTCGATTCAGCCGCCAGGCATAGGCGAAAACAAATGCCCGATTCATGGGTTAGCCTCCACTCCCCCCCCCCCCCCCCACAAAAAACTAATCGCATTCCGGTCACTTAGTTTTCGTTTTGATCCTTTCCGTTTTATAGAGAAGATTTCAGTTCTTATGAACTAAAGTCAGAAATGCTAGCGAGTTGGGCGCACTCCACATTTGACAGAACCTGCCATTTTTCGAGAAAAAAAAAACAGGTTTATACCTCCAAATCGCGTTGTGGGAGGTCATTACCACCATACCACTTCCCCCGGTCTCCCAAAGCAGCCAATGGACAGAGTGGGATCACAGAGCTCCTAATTACAATCACAAAATTCCTTCGATTTTGGGTGTATATTTTCAGTCTCGAGCAACACATTTCAATCCCCATAAAAGAAAATGGAGCCTCTCTTCCTGCCTTCAGGGAAGGATATCCATCGCGCTCTCACAAACTTAAAAGCAGCCTCGCTTGACCTGTCGTAAGCGTTGGTGCAGCACTGTAGAGGCAACGGCGGCGGCGGCTCAACAGTGGCATATAGCTACGAAGGTGACAGCACAACACTGGGCAGTCGTAGCGGCGACGACATACCACTGGACGGCGGCTGCTAGGCGCTGGACAGCGGCGGTAGGTGCAAGCACTTTATGACCTACCAGCGGCCGAAAGTGTTGCACCGCTGACTTGACGCTGAGGCGAACTGCTTCAGTTCGGCCTGTAGATCCAGGGCGTCCACCATGTCTGGGTATGTGGCCAGCACTGCGGCGTGATTTAGCCGTTCTTGGCCTAGGGTAGAGCGCAGCCATCCCCTCAGCCGACGAAGAAGACTGAACGCCCGCTCTGCCGCGCACGATGTTGCTGGGGCGGTCAAGACCAAACGCAGCAGCGAGGTAGCGGCTGGCGGCACCTGCCGCAGGCCCTCATCGCTCAGTAGGGCCACCACGTCGTCGAGGGAGGTCAGTGGTGCCTTTCTCTGGCTTGACGCCACATCCACCAACATCTGGCAATGGAGGCGGAGTCGCTCCAGGTCCAGGTTGTAGAAGGTGGCGGTTGCCACCAGCGCGTCCTCTTCCGCCGTAAGGAGCGCTTTTTCGGCCATGGCTAGAGTGGGCTCATCTGAGTCGAACCGACCGGTGATGGAGCCGGCCAACCAGTCGACGGCTTCGCAGTACACCTGGCGGTAGCGGCCTTTGGGACAGGCATGCTGGTGCGGCTCGGAGCCCCCGTCCAGTCGCCGAGGTGGTCAAAACGGGCGTCGCAGCCTGGGACACCCCACTCCCCGGCACTCCGCGTCGGACGTCAGCTCCGCCCAAAGGCGTTCGAAGCGGTCACGCTGGGACAGGACGACATCCCTGGCAGCACGTGCAACCCCCAGGTTGGCAGACACCGGCTGAGACTGTCCCTGCATAGTGCGCATGGCGGGTGTGGTCGCCTGGAGCAGGAGCAGAGCAGCGCGCAGGCCAAAGAAAAACTCAAAGTCTCTGAGGGTTTTGCCAAAGCCGCTAGCAGTGGCTGACACTTCCGGACGCACCTTAGCATCGTCCGCGAGCTCATCAAGGCTGGTCACCGGGGGCCCGTACTGCTTGACCACGGAGGTCAGGCACGCCTCGCTGCAGGTCCATCGGGTGGGGCACAGCGGACGCAGGGACATCTGGGCTCCAGCGTGCTCTAGCGCAACCATCCTCTTCGGCGAGTCGCGGTAAAAAGATACCAGTCGACCGACCTCCTGGATGGCGTCCTGGACCTCTCGCACGCCGTTCAGTGCCTCCTGACAGACCAGGTTCAGGCGGTGGGCCGTGCAGTGGACGAACACTGCGCGCGGCCCTACCGCCTTCACTCTGGCCTGCACGCCTCGGAAAGCGCCGGCCATGTTGGCAGCACCGTCGCAGCACTGACCACGAATTCGGTCCATCGGGAGCTGAAGACGAGTGAGGGCATCCTGGATGAGACCAAACAGTGCTGCAGGCCGTGGTGGAGTCAGCCTGATACAATCCAATGAACGTCTCCCTGACGGTCAGCGCCTCTGTGACAAAGCGCAGGCAGATGGCCATGTGCTCGCGCCCTGCAACGTCTGCCGTCTCGTCCACCACGACGGCGAAGGATTCTGCCGCACCCACTTCGTCCACCACCCTCCTGATCACGGCATGAGCCAGCTGCCCCTGCACCTCCGCCAGTGCCTCTGGGCTGGTGAAGTGCATCCGGCTTCTCCTTGCGCCGGGCGAGCCACCGCTTCAGTACGGGATCGTGCTGCGCCACGGTCGTCAAAAACCGAATGACATTTCCGGCCTCCTCGTCCTTGCGGCGGAGGGCCAAGCCCTGCTTTGAGCAGTAAATGACAGCGTCAAATATCTGCCGCAGAGCGTGCCGCGCCTCCTGCTCCCTCGCCTTGCCGACTGCCGGCGAGCGCTGCCACGCTACTTGGTTCGCTGGCGGTGACCAGGCTTTGTACAGCCAGTTGGTGGCAGGCGCTGGCTTCGTGGGCTCGAAAGCGTTCCAGCGCCCGCTTCCACGCACTAAATCCTCGAGCCGTGAAGGCGGCATCACGCTTTGTGGCGCTCCCCAGAAGCCCCTGACTCTCGGCTGCGACGCATTTTCGGCGAAGGACGCCCTCCAAATGTGTGCTGTACTCCAGCCAGGGGTAACGACGCCGCCACTCGGGTTGGAAGGTGCGCCGGTG